ATATGTGATGGATGCTGAAGATAAACTTGCATTCTTCCATGGTCTGGAGAAGAAGGTTAAGAAAGAAAATGAGAAGCTGTCTCACTGTTGCATGGGTGGCTTCATTCGAACATAGATTATTCAAACTTCAACGACTAAATCTATTTTAAATTTAATTAATCTAAGGGTTAATAAGTAATTAACTATATTTTAGTTGTCAAGAACAAACGTCCGTTAGAGTTGACGGCAAAAGTAATTTCAATGGATCGTGTGGTGTGATTCGAGGGTTTATGTGCTTTTTTTTTTTGGTTCAGGATCTTATGTGCTTAAATGGGGAAAGCTTAGGGGCTTACCATATGGTTTTGCCAGGGGAAATGAAATTCTTCCAGTACAACAAACACTAAACGCTTTACCAATTGCAAGGGATAGCAACAAAACCTTTCTATATAAATCCTTGGATACGTTCCATATTTCCATACCCTAAAGATCATAGCGCCGATCCAAAAAGAGCTAATTAAACAGTCTTATATCATTTTATCTATCCTCTTTTGGAAAGAAAAATGGAGTTAGCCTTGTCAAATTGTCATATAAATATAGCTATCCTAGCCCAGTATCCTTGATGCACCTCCATTCACAAAATCAAAAAAGATGGGAAAGACTCATCAATAAGAAGTACATCTGACTCAAATCTATGTAAGTTATATTAATTCAATTGCAGATTCTTTTTCTTAAATTTACATATAGGAAGAAGTTAGTAAAGAAAGGAAAACAGGGGAAACCTGCTGCTCCCTCTGGGTCAGATGTAAAATGGAGAGGGATACAAGGGGCGTGCTCATTTGCGTCAACATTGGGTTTAATGCTGGAACTAGCAACGTAGGCCCTGGTGCTGGCGGTCTCAACACTGGCCCTGGTTCTGGATCCATCAACGCTGGTAGCATTAACGGAGGTATATGATATGTCTCTTAATTAATTTAGTTTTAATGGTCGACTGTACAACAGCAGCGAATAAATTCAGGGATCAATCTTGTTCTTGTCTAACCATTTTATTTACAAAAATGTGTAGGAGTTCAATTTGGGTTGCACCTGATGACCAAGGAAGAAATAAGGAAATATCTCCTCAAATGGGATAAAAGCGGGAATGGCGTCCTCAGCAAGCAAGAGATAAAGGAAGCATTGCACAGCTTGGGTAGCTTTTTCCCTGGTTATAGGGCTCAGAAAGCAATGGCAGTTGCAGACAAGGACCGCGATAGATATGTGAACATGAACAATCATGAGTTTGAAGCACTCATAGATTACGTTTACGACCTTAGCGTCATAGTTTAAGTACTTAAGCTTCATCCGTGTATGAATAATTAGTAGTTATTGATAAAGATAATATAAGATATAATTTATGTAACTATGGAAGTAAATTTTAGATTTAATATTATTGTTATTATGGTAAATTTATGATTTTTTTTATAAATAATTATTTAAAAGGCTCTTTATGTAACAATTTGAAATCATCATTAATTATGCGTTTTAATAGTAAAATTATTTATACT